CACACACACACACACACACACACACACACACACACACACACAAAAACAGAACAAGAGCGACAAGAAACTGGAAAACTTGTGTCATGCCATAAAACATGTCAAAATCATCAGCACTGAAGACGTTTTTTTTATTATTTTAAATGAGGAAAGTTCGTCATGCCTGACAAACTGAAATTCAGTATCATCACAGCATAAAAATGCAAATAATTTGTGAAACACAATATCAGCAGTGCCTGAAGTAATACTGCAAGAACAATATTAAAAATAAATCTTTAGAATTAAATGTGCAGAATAGGCAAAGCACCTTTTATTAAAAAACAATGTTAAGTGGTGATGATTTTAAGGCCTTCGTGAGGCAATAACTCATTGTCCTGCAGTTTGACAATGCCAGCTTAMGATTTAAGATTAACCCTTCTCAAAAGTTTCTGTTTCTGAACACTATTTTATCCACCTTTACACAGCCGTCAGTCAGTTTTACCTTACAGTTGTTATGGCAGAAGAGCAACAGACTGACACCACAAGTATCTGTGTAACACATGTCTACATTTTTGATGAAAACACCTTTTTCTATGGAATGCTGCTGATGACATTAGATATAATTTTATTTTATTTTATTCAATTTATTTTAGTCATAAAACAAAATAAAACAATCTATATATAGTAAATAATAATAATAATAACAATAATAATAATAATAATAATAATAATAATAATAATAATAATAAAGCAAATTATGCCATGAATGAAAAGAAATAAAGATAATAAAAAATAATGAATGCTCGCACATTATTATCTCATGGCCACAGGGTATATTGCAGTCATTTCCATGCAGATACTGTTGAGTGTTAACATGGACAAGTTTGAATTAAATTAATTTTATTATAGGAATAAATGACAATGACATACTTCAGTTACCTGTGGTTAGACATGGAGTAATTCTTAGCAAAAGACACTTAATTTGGCTGCTCAAAAAAATGATCACATTACTTCCTTGTGGCCACGAGATAGTAATGCATGGCCACATATTTTATTTTCATCCAGTGTCAACACACAGGCTCCATACTTTCCAGCATTCAGTGAAATGGAGATAATTTTCTCTTTCCTGCTGAATAATTGTAAAATTATCTCAGCACTGTTTTGTATGTGTTAAAATAGACTTTAGTGCTCTTTAACTTGTTGCTTGTTTACAAGTTTACTTCTGATTTAAAGAACTTCTCTGTAGGTTTTACTCTTTTCCAGCATAAATAACAATGACCAACGGTAAGCAAAGCATGTGTTTAAAAAAGTCATTTTGTAGAAACAAACTTTAACTCTTGTGAGGTCTGCTGCGTGTGTTCATCCAAAGTACTTCAGTTTTTCCAAACACATTAAAATAGTAATATATGCTGCAGGTCAAAAGTTTTAGAGCACCCTCAGTTATCCAGTTTTTTAAATTTGATATTCARGCAGCTCAAGTCCAATGAACAGCTTGAAAGGGTACATAAGTGCTGAACTGACAGAGGTTTTTTAAAAAAAGCTGTAAGGTTACCTAAAACTAAAAAACAAGGTGTCTTTGAGTGGAAACTCTGACAGGAAGAAGTGTGACAGACCCAACCCTGGATCCAGCAAGTCAGCAAATCATCACAACTCTTGAATGACCAATATAAATGTAACAARTTAAAACAGTTTGTGCATCAAACTGCTCATTTAAAAACAAGCTTCACAAGAATGACACCCTATTTTTCACTATCCTAACCCCTGATTTGGTCTATGACCACCAGAGGGAGTCTCTATTATCACGACTCCACCAGAGAGCCAATATAACCCTCCTGCTGCCCCCGGGTCAAAATAACCCACAGGACTGGCCATTTTGAACTGAGGGCAGCAGAAGTGACATTAAAGAATACACACTTCTTAAGCAATACATTTGACATTGCAACATTTTAAAAGGTTCTTTACAAAATCAGTTTTTATAATAATTTGTAAATAAGAACTATTAATATTAAACAACCAAAATAATAGAAGCTTAAAAAGGACAAGAAATAAGTTTATTATAAATAGTGAGGTAAGAAAATATTTAAAAAATAGCTGTTAGACATTTATTTACAAGAAATACATTCAGTGATATAATAAATAAAAGTATATGAATAAGATATATTTTAAATTAAAAAATTGATTCACATTTAGGCAGTAAAACCACTTCAGAAGTTTGGGTCTATTGTTGGACAGCGGCTCTTTGGTGAGTTCAGTGTTTAACCCCAGTAGTCTCTTGGAACCAAAGGGATGCAGAAGTCATTACCGCACATCTGTTGGAGGAATGAAAAAAAAAAGAAATATAATAATATTCTGAACATAACGTGACATATTTGGGATTTTTTTTAGAAAAAATTATGTATTCACAAACCTGACAAGAGGGCTGGGAGGTTGGAGRTGAATGCAGAACTGTGTCTGTGCTCACATCCCCCTGCGGTGCTTCACTGTACTGTGGGCTCAACGGGTCCACTCCAAGTCCACACCCCCCAGAATGCAGCCAGGCGTTCTGGCTGTGACACTGAGATGGGTACAGGCTCTGGCTTTGGTTCTGGTCCTGCRTCGATCCTCCAGCAGAGGCCCTCTGGAAGTATCTGATGATATCAGGAGAGGAGGGGCCGCTGGCTGAGGCGTCTCCTTGTTCCCTCCTCTGAAAYGGCGCCTCCTCGCTGAGGCCCAGCTGGGCCGACAGGTAGGAGATGTAGCGGATGGTGAGGCGCAGCGTCTCGATCTTCGTTAGCGTCTGTCCAACAGGGGCCACAGAGGGCGGGAGGTAGGACCTGAGGTGGTGCAGGGCCTTCGTCAAGTCCCTCATCCTCAGCTTCTCCTTCTCGCTGGCGCTCTCCCTCTGTTTGCTGCGAAACCGGGMGGCCCGGCCCATCTTCTGGCCTCCTGAAGACATGGAAGAAGGCGAGGACTCCAGACTCTGAGGGTATCCAGTATTAGCTGCCTTGGGAGTGGACTGTGGAGGCTGCAGGTAGGACGGGGAGAGGCTGGAGTCCATGGAGTGGACCGGAGAGAGCGTCTCTGGGGAAGAAACGCAGGAGAGCTCCGAATCTGAGCACCACTGGTACCGCAGACCGTAGTCGAGGAGCGGGACCGAGGAGGTGTCCATGTTGTGTGGAGGAACCCGGTGGTCTGACGGCARGGATTGCTTCTCAGCTCTGCTCCTCTGGTTTATAAGTCCAGGCCAGGCCGCAGAGGTGTGAAGTGACACCTCTGCAGATTCTGACTAAAAAGCAGAGACCACTGCCCCTGAGCACACACACATCAGCAGCAGTGAGACCCTCTTCCAGGACCTCTCTCTCCTCCAGGAATGTTCATCTTCAGGCGCAGAAGTGTGAATTTTGACTCCTACCGAAAACAATAAACATTTTAGCTTTCTGGGGATTCGTCCCTGCAGGAAGCCAGATGCATTCTGCACATGTTTAACAGATTTACTTTTTATTTTTATTTTTACTTTTTAACATTTCTAAAAGTCAGACAACGAAGAATAAAGTAGAAGAACTGTCCACCACAAAAACAAAACCATTTCGGGGCATGTCTGCAGCCTTCCAGAAATTATAATTATTGAGGAAAATCCATTTTTTAAAACATAATTATTCTGAAATGTTCCTCACACCGGTATTATTTGAGAAGCTTATTTGGTTGTCTCTATGTGTGATCATACAGCTATAGAAGAGTGGATTTTGGGTAATTAGACAACAGATAGAGCTAAAAAGCTAAGAGCATATTGGTCATCTGAGGTCAGACAGGATTTACATTAAAAATCATCAACAAGCTTTCATCATATACTTCATGTGGTGATTGTATTCCCTGCATGTGACAAAAYATTTATGTTGGACCAATTATGGAGCAACACCACATGTAAATAATGTGAAAAAAAAATTGTGAACTTTTATCCGTGAACTATTTTCATGACATAGCTCAACAACGAGACAGTTCAGTCATTTGCCGTTTTAATCCCCTACATATATCAACAGGTAGATTTCTGTTTTTTTTAACACCACATGCAAAGACAGTAAAGCAGCTGCAATAAAAGCTGAGCACAAGCTCCACACAAGCTGGAAAAGAAGGCCCGTCATTTCAAAGCTATAAAAGTTTATTGTCATCGAGGGCAAAAGGGTTTTGATAGAATTAATCATCTTCCACTTGAACTTGGATCCCTCTGCAATTCCTGTTCTTCTCCCTCAATTTATATTTTCACATTCCTCACAAATATAATGGTTTTATAGTCAGAGCGAGTCAGACCTCAGCTGAGATTCTGTTCAGTCCTGGAAACGAAGCTCGCCCTTTCTGCTGCTCCCGTTTAGAGTTTGTTGGCAGAAGACTGTTGTCTTAAATAACTGTAAACAACAATGTAAATATAATGAGAAGGATAAAGCCCTAATGAGGCCTGGCATTATCTAATTAAAGCAGAGCTGTGATGGTTTCACACTGATGAGTCTGGAGGTGTCATTTCACACCTCGGCTGTGAGAACCAGGAGTGCAGGATGAGGAACTTTGTCTCTTCCCACCTTGTCGGCCCTCTTCTCCTCTTGAAGAATGAAGAGTTGGTTGTAACAGCAACTTCTTTTTAATGAAAGAGAAAAACATTGATAAAAAAGTTCTGTAATTATTTGAAAAACTGACTGAGTTTTATGTTTGTCAAGGTTGACCCGATGTGGCGGCCATCTTGAATATGGTTGAGGTATGTTCCGTTTATTCGCTTTTATAAGTTTCATTAAAATTTCAATCAATAAACAAACAGACAAGCACACAAACGTGTGCGCTTACACACACACACACACACACACACACACACACACACACACACACACACACACACACACACACA